CAAATTGAATGGGTATATGATATCTGCCGGATCTATGCGGCAGGAAATATTCAAGATAATGCAACCTTGTTATTTTGACGCACGTCGTTCGACAGATGATCCCTCTCAGAAGCCAGGTACTTCGCAGACAGGATCAAACGGTGAACTTGGTCTGCTATACACATCAATAAATTTATCTGGGTAACCAGTATCCGGAAGCGTCCATCCTTCGTAAAACGGCTTTTTTCTCTTCCCGAATAGTGTTGCTCAGGTTACGTAATCTAATTGTGTGACGCAATGACGCAAAACAAACTGATCCCCCACCCTGTATGTTGTTTGTCGAACCAATGGACAAATACGGGAATGTTGTACATTTCAGCAACTGAAGAGATTAAAATGCGAGTCAACATTGTACGATATATGGCTTTTTGCTGTTCTCACGAGGTCGATGTCCGCGGGGGGACCCAATGTTCCAACCTCTGAACTCATCAGTTCTTACATGTCTATTGACTCATGAAAGTGAATTCATTTCACTTCATTTCATTCTCTTGTAGTCAATTCAAAATTTCGGTCACACTGCAGTGGAAAACTATTTAGTAGGTCTAACCAAGCTGTGTGCAATAATGCACTTTATATACTTCTCATTTCAGAGTTGTAAACATGCATGCATGCATAATCTGTGTATAATCGTTCGTCTCTATAGTGATACGTTTTTGCCACTCCCTAATTCTTTTCAAATCAGCCACATGTGAAACACGCTGCTGAGTAAAATTTGTTTTTCTGTGACAGTTCTTCGTGTTTTCTATTCGTTTTCTCAAATTGTCAATCAGGATCCATCTGATATAACCAAGCGCATTGATCAACAGTTAGCTACTTACGAGTTAATGAAAACCGGTTCTTTTTTAAATAGAAGCATTCATTGGTCTGAAACTGTTTCATGTGATCACTCACCATGATCAATGTATCGCCGAACACTTCCCGTGTGATACGAGTTTGATTGAATCCGTGTTTTTGGATTTGAGTTAGCTGTTTGTCCGAGTCCAACTCGACAACGGACTGAATGGGAACAAGGCAGAAATGAGTTCGAAAAAGAAAATATCCATATCCATATCTGTGAGTATTTATAAATGGGGCGATAGTTAATGCAATCAGCACATGGCAACGCATAGTATAGTCCCCCAATTAATTGATTATATACATCTCTTAGGCATATAAGCTTCACTTATTGAGAAGAAACACCCAATTGGAGGTAGATTAGGGCGACGCGGTCCAAGTAACTGACCATAGCAACTAGCATCGATCTTTTCACGGACGAAAACACGACTCTATTATTTACTGTGAGCGTTAAAGCTTCGGTGTGCGTCAACGCGAGAACAAAAAACGGAGTATCATTATTATTAAAGTTTGGATTGCCCACCGAAGTGGCGATAATGAATTTCTTAATTCCTTAATTGAATAAAGAAATGTACAATAAACTTTCAGAGGGCGGGGAGGGGACACAAAAGCCATTTGGGAAATATACAGAGAATGATGATGGTGGTGGGGGTGTTAGTGGGGTTCGAACTCCGGAAACCCAATTTTAAATAACCACATCTGTATACGTGTACCGAATATGAGATATTCAAGTGGAACAGCAAGCTCTGACAGAAAATACTAATTGTGGTATTTCCATGCAAACTACATACGTGAATAACGGAAGCACACATAATGAGTCCGTGAGTAAGCTGCGGTGCATATCATTTCAAATTCGAATCTTCAGTCAGCCTTGCGATTTCCAATCAGTTTGCCCCCCTGTATATCAGTCTATCTCTCCTCTCCTACTCTAGTTTTTATTTAGTTTTTTTGGCCTAGTAAAACAAGAGTTTACGCAACGGTTCTCTCATGGGAAGTTTTTACGTTTCTTCAATTACTGTAAACTGACGAACTAGGAAACATTCAGACCATCATACAATTTCTTGTGGTAAACTTTTTTTTTCGAATGGACTCTAACCCATGAACAATGTGTTGAATCCACACGTTGCGGTTGTTCCCCTACCTGCCCATGCTGTGAATTCTGACGTGTGTATTATTTTGAATACAGAAACCAAACAATGTAACCCCCTGAATTATCATTTAACTGAATCTACATACGGCACTGTTGATGTGATCATTATCATGTAGTTAGAAGCACTGTGTCACTGTCTACTTGACGCCTTCAGAATCCTCTATAACAAATCGCCGAAAGCCTCAGTCCGATGGGTGACCCGTATTGTGACTGGTCACCATTCCCTTACACCTCGTGAAATGTTCCTATACGACCAAGCGTCTCAAATAGCCAATTCTACTGAGGAAGACCCCCTTCCCATGGTGGTGTTTTCACACCCAAGTTACATCCGGGGCTATAACCGGTTTTCGAATCATTGGCAGTTCGCCTATTGCGGTTGGCTAAAAACCTTGGTATCGAAGCAATCAAGAAGAGGCGTACAAACCATGCACACCTTCTTGGTTATGGTAGTGGTCACCGGCTAGATTGGGCATCAAGGTGCATTGGATAGCTGGAGCGTTTGACCCCGTCCAAAAGGCGTATGATCCAGTGAAGTGGACTCCCCATGGACTGCGGACTCTGAGCTCGGTCCTGTTGTCCTGCTGGTCTGGCTTTCTAGTCAAAGGCTTAGGGTGGGGACCCCGAGGTTATTCCCCCTTCCTCGGTCAGGGCAACCCGGAAAATAACATGCCCACACAACCTATGAACACATTCTTCAGATTTCGTTCTGTTCTGGCACCTTTGCCAGTTCTCTGTAATTGGTTACGTGTTGAATAACAAACGTGAATAGCATATCTTTTTCGAGCTTCTTTGTTCAAAAAGTGCGAGTTTGTGAATGATTTTGACTGCTATCTTTGATTCTATTTTATTGACCAGGTATTAATGCTCTCCTTGACTGCAGTACGTACACGTGTACAGACGCAACGAACAGATGATGCAGGAGACACATTGTGCAAACTGCTATTTTTCGTTTCTCTATTCAAATTTTTTTGTGGAAACTGTGCTTCCCGCTTCTTAAGCACATATTATTGTGCATAGCAGCTCACTGAAATTCGCCTGTGACCCCAGGTCTGAACAAATACTCACGAACCAAACGAGAATAACAAGGAACCCATGTCCGAATCGTGAACCATAAAAGTTCTGCGAGCACACTCCCTCTCTCTCCATCTCAGAAATGCATTCTACCTAATAGCTTGTAGGCATTGTTTATTTCTACTGAACAGTGCGCTCCAGTGCTCGTTGAGTTACACAAAAAACAGCACAATAGCTTGTAATGCGCATTTGGATTGATAAATGAGAGGCGTACAAAGTCGTGAACCTGTGGTACGGTGATGTAACTAGAATGAAATTGACGATGAATGTAAACAGGTACGTCCAATATGAATAAATACATATCCACATTTATACACATGGTGGTGAGAATGCAGTAGACCCTGTGATTTGAGGTTCGAGCCCCGACAACGCCACCCAATGTTGATGGTAGACAGTTTTGTTGTCTCCACGTCTGACCTTGCGGCCCATGATGTGGTTCGTCACTCCGGGCTTAGGTCGCCGGTGACCATCACTGAACAGCCGATCTTTGTGACTATGCGGTTCCAGCCCGTCTGCTGTCCATCACACACCGGTGTAATGATTTGAATGTGAATGTATCTAGTGCAGCTGCTACGTGAATTGACTGTGACAGTGTAGAGTAAAGAACTCGATGGATTTCCCTTGTTCTTCGTTACGAAAAGGCCTTTGCGTGGACCTCAGTAATTATACCCCCCCCCCTTAAAAATACATTCGTTTTCTGTCGACAACACTATGACAATGTTTCCATTCAAAGGAACTGAATCCTTGTTACTAAACTATTTGAATAATGGTAGTTAATATCACCAAAAAAGCATATCCAAAGTGAAATGCGAAAATTGGACAGTAAATTTAAAAAAAACAATATCAGTGGTACTCTGAGCATTAATGAACTGAAATGGTTTTGCTAACGATTCTCAAGTTGGCAACTCGAGTCTATATGCATTTATGTTAGAAATCTATACTTTTAGAAAAAAATCTAGGAATAAATAACTATAAAAAGTACCAATAATGTATAGCACATCCTTTGAAAATCACCAATTTATCACCCATTTGCATTGCATTATGATTAACGCACCTGAACAATGCGACCATCGGGAGTTAGCTCTTGAATTTCCTTCCCCAACACAAATGTGGTTCCCAGTCGACGACTACCGAACTCATCACGCATGTAGACCTCGTTACCCTCGATATCGATTGTGAGTATGCGGTTCGGATGATCAAATTGTTCCAGCACTTCTNGCTCCTTGTAAAGCGATTACGATATTTCAATTCAGCGTGGATGATAAGTTCACTCACCAACTTCAATCATCACGGATTCGATATTTTTACACTCAACGCATCGCCATTCACCGATTAGATGTGACATGGTATCGAAATGATCACAATCACGGTGTCGTGCGCGTGTTCCCGCCTTTTATTCGGTCTATCTGCCCGAGCTGGAATTGGATTGGCTGTACAAAGTGCAATCCGGTGAAACTGCCAAAACGAACCAATCAGATTGGTCTGGATTTGCCGAGTTTTTGGACAGCATGCATGCGAACTCATGCTTCGCCTGATCAAACAAAGATGGTGTGTTTATTTTTGGACAAATCACAATTGTTCTCTCATTTGATCCACTTCTGATCGAGGAATGTGGTGTTCAATTCGGTATGACTGATCAGATGCGGTTAAAAGGGATCCACATTGTAACCAGTCAGACGGGTGACGATC